CTTATGTTAATATACACGTGTTTATTATTACGAGTGTGTTATTTACATACATCTCCGATACCACTACTTTGTTTTACATTGGATGCATGCATTATTAACCAGTTTTCCATTGATTTTATTGACTTTTATGCCATCTTTTTAGTATTTAGTACCCATGCTTTTCTTATACTTATCCAGTGTTTGTACATATTACTGAATCAATCAGCTATTTTTTCCTGTTATTCAATGTTTGCTACTAAAATATGTCAATAGTTTGGTACATAAGAGTCATGAATTCTACGTGATTATTGTTGATTTACTCTGAACTCATTAAGCGATGGGGTTGGATTTGTCCCCTCTAACCCTAGCTTTTCAGGGCACGTGGTTATTGTACTTACTTATACACGCGTTTCGTTCGGTTTGATTATTTTTTATAAATAGTGTTCTCTCGTAATTATAAGAACACCTGATTGTGATTACGTACATATTTTTTCATCCTTGACTAAACATGGCTCAATGGACTCGGATTTGATATTGGAGTGTGGTGATTAATCTTAATGAATTAATGCTTATGTTTTAATTGAGCGCCTTTGGCCTATATAGTCTTTTGTTTTGAAAATAATTACGGACATTGCTTCGTTGCATCCTCCTCATGTCGTGTTATGAATAAATGTGCTTAAATGTCGGCACGGCTTGGATGCAGCGTGATTTACGTAATTAATTATGTGCTGCCTTTACTGTATATTTCTCGTTGCATTCGAGCATTAATTCTATTATAAATGCGTTTATATGTATACCACGGTGGAAATAATTATGTCCATGTGTAATATAGACATGGCATAACACGCTATTTTCCCCGCGTTGTCTTTCCTTAATTAACTATGGCTGATGGAGCTGGATTATTTAACTATTGCTGCCCCACGTGGGTCTTCTCCTTGCTTCCTCCAGCTCCGAACATTCACCATATTGGATGATGCAATCATTGCTCTGTCACGTACGCCAAGCTCTAATAGGGATGGCTAGGAATTCCACTGATACCCACTTAATAATCTAGTATTTGAAATTGAAGTAATTATTGATTTTCCACTCTTTTAATTCTTGGATCGAGTCACGTGGTTTGGACTTAGAAATTCTTTGCCTAAGCTGCGGGAGGACTCATGCTGATTATATTGTTTGCTATGGGCAACCGGGTATCGGCCTAGTCTATCCTCTTTCTCTGATTGGCGGTCCATCGATGTGTGTGTCTTGTCAATGTGGATTTAATATTATGTGGATTAGATTACCTGCACAAGTGCACTTATTCAAACTACATTTTTTAAGAACTCTGGTTGTTATTGAGGGATCGTGTTATTTTGGGTGTAGATCAATCTGGGGTGCTCCCCCCACATGTATGTAATATGTATATACTTGTGATTGGTGTAGGGGAGGGCTTACACACTAAAATTTTAGTCCACCATGTTAATCCTGCGGGGTCATGTGAAAGTAAAATTGCCACTTTTTGATGATAGGGGACTGATATTGGGGGAATCGTAATAATTTTTGAACCGATGAAGATCACCTGGGATGCATCTCCCAGTGCTTTCCCCCTTCTTTATGGTGTTTTCACTAATATTTCGGCACCCGAGTCTCACAGTACATTCAGACCTGGCTCATTTGATCCCTCTCTGGTTACCCTTTCTCCCTATGTAATTTCACGCTCATAAGCCTATTTCTTCCACAATTTTTAACTGTTTTAAACTGTTTTTAAATTTTTAAATTTGTTTAAATCTGCAATATCTTGACTCCTGGTTGGCTATCGGATTCGAGATTTGAACCAAAAGTTTCGCTCGTCGAGGCCCATCTGGTCACTTTCTTTACTCCCATTGTGTAGGCATGGGCAGGATTTAAGCACTAAAATATCATGCTATTCCTTGGGACTTGGATGAAAATCCCTCTCCCACAAGGACTTGAGTTTGGGACTTGATTTTTGGAGGAACGCCATAACTGTGTATGCGCGAGCTTTACTTAGATGTGGCCCCCTCCTGTGCTTCCTTCCTCCTACAGGGACTTCCTAGTGATAACTCGAGTATTATGCTACCTAGGCCTATCGCGCTGGCTGAACTCGATTCCTATCCCTATGAGCTATTTAAATATGTATTTTCATGTCAAACGACTTATTCCTTCTCCCCCTTTTAATGTGTTTATAAAATTTTAAAATTATTTTAAATTAATTGTTTTAAACTGTTTTTAAATTTTTAAATTTGTTTAAATCTGCAATATCTTAGCTCCTGGTTGGCTATCGGATTCGAAATTTGAACCAAAAGTTCCATTCGTAGAGGCCCATCTGGTCACTCCATAGACATTGCTATCATTAATGAATTAAACTATCCTCGCACAATTAACTCAATTCCTGATTTATCATCTAACCATAACCCTGTTATCATTAAAGTTTCTCTTAATGCTGACAGTTATAACATTGAATAGACGTTACCCGCCCGTTTTGCTGGGTATTTGATAACGTAGCATGAATATGTAATGTTTATAAAGTCTGCTATAACGTCCCTTAACCCCTCTCAACCCTTTGGGGGACAATTTTCGCAAAACTCGTTCTTAGTAAATGAAAAGAAAATGCCTACAAAATTTCATATTTATTTGTCTAATAGTTCAAATGCGGGAATATTTATCTCTTGCGCCCTTAAGCCCTAGCACACACAAACTCACTTATGATTAAAAGAAATTTCTAGATTATTTTTACTTCATGAAAGGATGTCTACCTAATTTCAAGTCTGTGGGTCTTTTACTTAAAATACGGGAATATATTTTTCTCCAACTGCTCGTAATTCCTTTCAATCCCCCCTTAGGGTTCGATTTCGCAACCCCCCTTTTGTAGCATATCTTTACTTTATGAAAAGAACTTGTCAGCCAGATTTCAAGTCTGTAGGCCTTGTAGTTTAAAAATGGTAATTTATTTCTTACAATAACCCTTAACGTTTTTTTCTTGCGACCCAACTTGGAGTTCAATTTTCGCAAAACAAGTTTTTATATAGAAGATCTATACTTCTCTCCATGAAAATAAGGTAAAGTTTGTAAGTCTAATAATTCCTGATATATCATGATGAGTCGATTTTTACTTTCAATACATATAGATAATAGAGAAACTAAAAATGTAAATGAAACATGCATCTAACATCACACTCGAAGTCAAATCGCTAATTTCGACAATAAGGTTGGTTCAGCACATACACACGCCTCCTGACCAATCAAAACATAGAATTACACTAACACTCCTATTCAAAGTCGAAATTTTATCAAACCGAAAAATACCACTGAACAAATAATATGAAAAACAATTTTAAGTTAGTTTTTACTTATAGATCAACAAAGAAAAAGTTTATTACTTTTTAGTAAATAGTTACAATTTATATAAATACACATAGGAACATTGAAAATAGCGATCCAAGAAGGAAGCTAAGTACAATCGCGAAACTTTGCAAATAAGTACAGCGTAATGTGATATGCAAATGATCCAAGTTTTGTGCCAATACACATGCTCATACACGTCGAGGTGGCTCTACAATCAGGAAGAGGGGGCTATATAAGCCAGCGCAAATTCGAAGATTCATAAACGTGACAATTACCCGCCAAGTGTAGGAAGACTTTGGTAAGCGAAACATGCCATGTAAACGTACTAGATGACATTTCTCACAGTTAAGCGAGTTTGAGAGAGGCCTGATCATCGGGATGAAAACTGCAGGCTGGTCGACGTGCCGTGTTACTGGCCAGGTGGATCGTTCGGAGTGTGTCGTTAGAAATTGTTGGGAGGAGTGGACACTAGAAGGTACCCACGTGCGGAAACCCGGGTCTGGAGCGCCCAGGAAGACCACGAGGAGAGAGGATCGTGCGGCAAGCACTTGTGGACCCCACAGTGACTCGTTCAACGATACGAGCAGACGTAGGCGTAGCAATTGTTCCACAAACAATTTCCAGACACCTTGCAGAAGCAAATCTTAAATCCAAGCACCCTTTCCGTGCACTCCCTTTAACACCGGAACATCGGCCACTGCGTCTACAGTAGTGCCAAGCCAGATCAATGTGGAATGTCACAGATTAGCAAAAGGTTGTGTTTAGTGATGAATCCCGGTTTGTTTGGGGGACAGATGATAACCGTGTACAGGTGTGGAGATGCCCTGGTGAGCGGTACAATTCCCCCACACTGTTCTACGTCACACTGCCCGCACAGTTGGTGTAATGGTCTGGGGGCCATAGCCTATGATAGCCGGTCCACTTTAATTGTGATGCGTGGACCCTTAACGGGCCAACATTACGTTGATGATATTCTTCGACCCCATGTAGGACCTTTCCTATATGGTCTCCCAGGGGCAATTTTCCAGCAAGATAATTCTTGTCCGCATACAGCAAGAGTGTCTCAAGACTTCCTATGTCATTTTCAGACTCTTCCACAGCCGTCCCGCTCCCCCGATTTGTCCCCTTTAGAGCATGTGTGGGATCGGCTAAAACGGCAGATGCCATCGTGTCACTCTGTACATGATTTAGAGTTGGCTGTTTAAGATTTGTGGGCCCATCTGCCTCAGGACAACATAAGGTGTCTAATCAACTCAATGCCGTACCGTGTGGCGGCATGTATTGCAACTGGAGGTGGTCCAACGCATTATTGAAGTTGCCCAGTACTTGTGTCGTTGCACACCCTGTATTCGTTTAATTGTCTTGTTTTTGAGATCAAGTGAATCTCTCATCTGTGTCATTATGTGTATTAAATTTTATTTCAATCGGATGCTTTCTTCTTGGGTCGCTATTTTCAATGTTCTTGAGAGTATGTATAAACACTTGACAGAATCCTAATATTAAGGGGCAATACAGAAAGTTATTTTCTTTGCAATTTTCCATTTTCCTTTCTATATATGGTGTTGTTATATGGTCTATATCTGCAGTTGTTGTTTGTTATAATTTATTTATAATTAAATTTAATTATTCTAATAAAATAGTACAATAAAAAAAAGGAATCGCATTCTTACAAATTAAGCCATCCCAGTTGGGGTTCAAAGCCATAACCTTTGGCTTAGGAGACCAACGCATTATCCATTGCGCTACAGGGACACAACAGATGATTTTACTTTCTATATATGCTGTTGGACTATTATTTTTCTTTGTTGCTATTTTTAATTTTTTAAATTTAATTAATGAACTAATATTTGAAAAAAACTGAATTAACACACACATCACGTGTTATCTACTACAAGTGTAAAAAAATGTTCTAATGTAATGAGTAGATAGTATTTTATTAACGATTGAAAATTTGAACAAGATATATATATAGAGAGACAGAGAGTGAACAAATAGAGAGGAAATGAAAAAAAAATCAAAATAATTTAAATCCAGCTCTTAAATCTAAATGTAGTAAATTACAGGCCTTAATTAAAAGAACTCAAAAACATACTCAAAACAATTGGGATGCTAATCTCATAGCACTCAACACACAAAATATACCCTCTGGACAATACAAAAACTCATACGTAAATAACGTTGAGATATACTGTGCAACCAGTACAGCAGCGACGGATACTCAAAAAGCTACATTTCTTGTAACAATACTGAATGATAAATTCAAAGAAAATGTTAGACCCAACACACAGCTTGCATTGTAATACTGACAATGATGTTAACAACACACTAGATCATTTCTTCTCCTCTACCAATATCAAAAGTATTACACCCACTACCCCTGACGAAATGATCACTTACTTGAAACGCACAAATAACAACAAATTCCCATGTTACGATCAAATCACAAACAAAAAGGACTAATAATCTTTCATTCAAAGCTATGCCATATTAACTTATCTTATTAACAAAATTTTAATTTTTTGCTACTTTCCTAATAATTGGAAAAGTGCTTTTTTTCCCAATATAAATAAAAAGAAGAATGCACACCAATCCGATAGTTTTATCGTTCAATTAATCTTCCCGCTTTTGGGGCCGCGGTAGCCGAGTGGTATAGGTATTGGATCGTGGCAAGCCTTGATTTAAAAAGTCGGATCCAAATTTTTATGATGTCCTTGTGTTTTTTCCAATCCCGTTCCATGATCTCAATGAAAGTAAGCACACCGATTCGAACCCGATCTTTTTGAGTTTCGTGATTTGTGGTTGGCAGCAACTGCCATGCAAATCGAGCGAGTATTTAAACTCGGCTCATGTTAGTTTTTCAAAAAGGAAGGATAAACAGAAATATAAGAAGTGTGTGTGTGAGTGGTTTAACTCTTAGAGGGAGAGAAAGGCTGGTTGGCAATGCAACTGCAGGTTGCATCACCATTTTAGATTAGAAATTCATTTTACAATATTAGAAGACGGTTCGAATCAGATGTCTCTAGTAATGTTGCTTTTTGAACTTATTGTTTTTTATCGCTCCAGTAACGAGCAAAGTGACTTTATGATTGATTATTAAAGGCCAATTTTAAGAAACTGTTTTTCGTCTTCATGCTTCCTCGACACATAAATTTCACTGCTAGCTTTGCAAAATTTAAATTAGTTTACCAATAAGTGTAACAAATTTGGTTATGAGCCCAGTCCATGTACTGTGTCGAGGTAGGCTAAGCAGTTGAACGAGGCCATGAACTTTGTCTATTTAAATACTGTTCCAGTCTAGAACTATTTTTTATGAACTCTGTTGCTAGTACGCTAAATCGAGCAACAGATATGGAGTTTAACAACCAAGTATCAGTGTTGACTCAAAACAACTGGAACACGTGGAAGCATGATATACAAGTACTCTTAATGCATTATGGTTGCTGGCAGTTTATAATACAGACCAAGCCAGAGCAACCTGATGAAGAGGCAACATACAAGGAAAAATTAGATCTACAACTTCGTAAGGATAGATGTTATACGTTGATTTATACTAACATCAGTTCAGATTTGAAAAATCTGATAACGGAAACAACTGACGGAGTAGCGGCATGGAAGATATTAAAAGATCACTTCGAACCAGTCACAAAAGCAAGAATAATTCAACTATTGGATCAATTTTTTGGAACAAAAATACCAACCAGGGAAGATGTTGGAATGTTCATATCTCGTGTAAAGACAGCGGCAACCAGACTACAAGAAGCGGGTCATAAATTGGACGACCTGTACATAGGATTTCAATTAATAAGGTGGCTTCCTCAGGAATTCCAGTCTACCGTGCAACAAATCTACAGATGGAAAGAAGAGGACTTCAGAGTTGTCAAAATTGAAGCAGAGCTGATATTAGAAGCCAATCGTCTTCAGTTGATGAAACAAGATTTGGAGAAAGCGGAGAATGCTTACTTGAGCAGTTTCACTTCGAAGAAGTCGAAGACGTTACCTGGTGCTACGGCTGCAGCTCATGGAGATCCAAATGGCAAGAATGATTACCAAAAGAAAGGTGGTAAGGTATTTAACTGTAAAACTATTAAAAATGTTAAACAATCTATTAAAACTATAGGTCCGTGTTATGTATGTAATAAGTACGGGCATCTTAAAGTAAACTGTAAAGAGAAAAGTCTCTACAAAAAATCTCCTTCAACTGTAAATGAAACTTTTAACATAGTGTTTAATATAAATTTAAGATTTTGTGAAGCTGAATGTAGTCTTTTAGAACTAGATAAACAACTCGTAACTAGTTGTATCTTATTTGAGGAAAATTCTGATAAAGGTGTTTGGGTAATAGATACTGCTGCCACGAGTCATTTTTGCAATGACAAGAGTTTATTTTTAGATCTTAAACCGATAACTAACATGAAAATGTCGTTAGCAACGGAGGATAAAAGTTGTCCCGTAGAAGGAATCGGTACACTTAGATTTCGGGTAAAATATAAGGGAAGTTTTCATGAAATAACTTTGTCTGATGTTTTATTTAATCCTAAGTTGAGGAGAAATTTGTTATCCGGTTCCAGATTAGAAAGTAAAGGTGCGCATTTTGTGGGTACTAAAGGTAAAATTAATGTTTTTAATAAAGACTGGATAAAATTGTTCTCGGCGACATGCCATGAAAATTTGTATTTTTTTAAGCCGGATCATTATATTATACCAAAGAGTAAAGAAATTAGTTTTTTTAGTGATGTAACCGCTAAAACAAAAAATGGATCAATAGAAATATGGCATCAACGCTTTTGTCATGTTAATAACGATTACTTGGTAAAAACTAGTAAAAATGATAGTGTAAAAGTTCTCCCACGCTTAACTGATAATGGTAAGACTCATTGTATACCGTGTAAATTAGCAAAGTCAAGAGAGTTTCATTCAAAAGACGGGGGCCGTAAGATCAAAACGTCCATTGGAATTGTTGCATATGGACCTCTGTGGTCAATGCCAACTGAAAGCCAAGGCGGTAATAAATATTTCTTGAGTATAATTGACGATTATTCAAGAAAGGGGACTGTATTTCCCATCCGAAATAAATCTGACGTATTTCATACGTTTATAAGATTTCAGAAACGAGCAGAACGTTTTCTAAGTAAAAAGGTAATAGCAGTTAGAACTGATGGCGGACTAGAATTTTGTAATAAAGATATGGATAATTTCTTGACAGAACTGGGTATAAAGCATGAGGTAACAAATTCATATACGCCAGAAATGAATGGGGTCGCGGAGAGATTCAATTTAACCGCTCTAGATGGCATCAAAACATTACTCGAGTCTAGTGAAGTTCCCCATAAGTTTTGGGGAGAAGCACTACTTTGTTTCACTTATGCATGGAATCGAATTTGTCACAAAGACAGTAACAAAACGCCTTTCGAAAAATATTCAGGTAGAAAACCATCGGTATTGCATCTAAAACCTTTTGGATGTTTGGCATATGCTGGTGTGCCAAAACAAATTAGAAAAAAATTCGATATGCGTGCGAAAATGGGAATTATGATGGGATACGCACAACGTACTAAGGGTTATAGAATATGGTTGATAGATGAAAATAAATTAGTCGAGACTATTAATGTAAGATTCGATGAAAATAAGAGGGGAATTAATTTTAGACAAAAAGTTAATAGTAACCTTGGATATAATTTAAACCTTCTTGATTATTATGATGATGAAGATGATTTTGATAGAGTAAAAGATTCATTAACGAGTCGTTTAGTTTCAAAGACAAGTACGGAAACGCCCTCAACATCTGAAAAAACAGATGTATCTTCCGATAATCATAGCTTGATCCCATGTACAGAGGTTAAGTGGATTCGAAATATAGGTAGGAAAGTAACTGGATCTAACGTATATTATAGTATAGAAGGGGAAGCAACCCGATTGAAATCTTTTTTAACGAAATTGAGATACTGTAAGAGGCATAATATTGAGTATGATCCTAGTTTATTTAATTTTAGAAAAAGATAATACCGAATCCCAGGGATTTTCAGATTTGTCAGAGCAACAAGAAGCTCTTATGGTTGAAGTAGCTATTCTAACTGTTACAAACAGGCGATAAGATCCAGAAACGCATCGAAACGGCATGATGCAATGAATAAAGAAATTAACGTAATGATGGAACGTAAAGTTTGGGGATTTAGTTGATCATCCGGATAATATAAAAATTTTAGAAAACCGTTGGGTTTATACCATTAAATATGATGAAAAATAATAAAATTGTTAGATACAAGACCCGATATTATGTATGCAGTAAATGTATTATCTCAATTCCAAGCAAACCCGGGAATAAAACATTGGAATTGCTTATTGAGATTATTAGGTTATTTAAAATACACTCAAGAATATAAATTAGAACTTTCAAAAGTTAAATCATTAAAGCTAAGATGTTATTCAGACTCGGATTTTGCTACAAATAAGGATGATCGAGTGTCAATGGGAGGGTTCATAACTTTTATAGACGAAACTCCAATTTCATGGCGAACTTTCAAGTAAAAATCCGTTAGTCTGTCGACCATGGAAGCTGAGTATGTTAGTTCAACAGAAGCAGCTAAGGAATTCATTTGGCTAAAGAATGTAATTAATAATAAAAGTTTAAGTTTGGAATTAAGTGAAAATGTAATGTTTTGTGATAATCAAGTTGCTATAAGTTTTTCAAAGTCACCAGTAGAAAATTATAGAACAAAACATATCGATGCTCGTTATCATTTTTCTAAGGCATT